CAAGTATAGGCGCTGCCAAACACACACACACGCCATGTCACACACTTTATGGAGCGGCGTGAACGCTGAGGACGCACGCACACGATTTTTCTGTGGCCCTTGTGAGGAGGGATGACGGAGAACGCGATTTGTTTTATTTCCGTGCTAAGGGCATGATTTTCTTGTCGTGCAGCAGTTGACTAACGTGGTGTGGCATTGTGGGTGCCTGGGATAAGTGAGCATGGATTTTTGCCCAGCAGCTGCACGTGCCGACGTGTTCCTCCCGCTGTTCATGCACCGACGGAGGATTCTCCGGCTGTGCGGGGTGATGTGCGTTGGATGGTGCGGGAGAGACAACAGTAAAACGACTGGCGGCAGCGTGTGTGGGCTTTGAAGATTTGCTGACGCGTGAAGAACAACAACATACCCGCAGTGGCAGTCGCTGTGTGTTCCCGGTGCACTGTTCTTCCGTCTCTTTCCGTGTGTCTGTGTGCGTGAGTTTTTGTTGTTGGGAGTAACTGCGGTGGGGATGATGGTGCCACTCACTGTGGAGGGGCGGCCGTGCTCACTGTTTCACTCCTTTTTCCTCTTCTCTCTCTTTCTCACACACAAAGAAGGAAAGGAAGTAAGGCTAAACGCTAATCGCTACTGTGAAATTGTAAGGCTTTGAAAGGACCAACAGCACACACACCGCCCACACACACATATTTATATGCTCTCACGTGTTGCTGCAGTGAAGGCACCCCGCAAACACAACCGTCGCCGCGTGACCGGATCCAGCGGAAGGAGGAGGGAAGGAGGAGAGAGTGAGCCGCAGAGACCCAGCATGTCCCGGCATCTCTTCTACTCTGCGGTGCTGCTCCTCGTCTTGATGATGTGCTGCAACACTGGTGGTGCTGCGGAAGCTCCGGGGCAGTCATCTGAACCAAATTATAAATGGAAGAACATCAAAAATGAGGGCGGTGTAACTGTGGAGTCGTTGGGTGTTCCCGGTCTTCTAAAAGTGGGGAGTGACGTATTTGCCGTTGCCGAGGCGCAGTGCAAGAAGTCTGATGCAAACATTTTTACTGGCATTGCATCGCAACTACTCACGAAAGATAATGCTGAAAAACCAATGGAAGTGCTAAATGGAGCCAAAGATAAGACACAAGTTTTGGAGGAAGACGGTTCCGAAGACCCAAAGAAGAGAATAGATGTGAGCCGACCAACAACAGTTATGCAGGGAAATGATATTTACATGCTTGTTGGGAAATACAGCCAGACAGCTGCCACTGGTCAGGAGGGTGGCGGAGCAGACGACTGGGGATTATTGCTGGTGCAAGGAAACGTCAGTGACGAAGGTGGCGGCGAGAAAAGAATCCAATGGAATGAGAACCAGCGACTGGTCGGCACCTTTTCTGCTGATGAACACAAACGCTTGACGCAGCTGATTGGCGGCGGTGGATCGGGTATTAAGACTAATGACGGCACGCTTGTGTTCCCAGTGGAAGGCACGAAGAAGGGTGAAGCACCAAAGGAGGATAAAAAGACCGTCTCGCTGATCATATACTCGAAGGATACTAAGAGTTGGAAGCTGTCGAAGGGGATGTCTGCCGATGGCTGCAGTGATCCCTCCGTCGTGGAGTGGAAGGACAAAAAACTCATGATGATGACTGCGTGCGATGATGGCCGCCGCAGGGTGTACGAGTCCGGTGACAAGGGGGATTCGTGGACGGAGGCACTCGGGACACTCTCGCGCGTGTGGGGCAACAAAAAGGGCGAAGAAGCGAAGGCCGTTAGAAGCGGGTTTATCACAGCGACGATTGACGGTGCCGATAATAAGAGGAATGTGATGCTTGTTACTCTGCCGGTGTATTCCGAGAAGGCTGATAAAAAAGAAAACGGCGAACTCCATCTTTGGCTGACGGACAATACGCACATTGTCGATATTGGGCCGGTATCCGATGATGACGCTGCCGCCAGCTCCCTGTTGTACAAAAGTGCTGGAAGTGGAGATAATAAGAAGGAGGAGCTTATTGTACTATACGAGAAGAAGAAGGGCGATGGAGAATCATCACACAGTCTTTGGTCTGTGCTCCTGACTGAGCAGCTGCAGCGTGTGAAGGATGTGCTGGCGACGTGGAAGAAAGTGGACGACCTTGTCTCCAAGCTGTGCACCACTTCAAGTGCTGAGAAGGATGCCTCACCTGAAAATGCCTGCAGCCCTACTGTTAAGATCACGGATGGGCTGGTTGGCTTTTTGTCCGACAACTTCTCTGATAACAAATGGAGGGACGAGTACCTCGGGGTGAATGCCACGGTGAAGAAGAAAGATGGGGCAACAGAGGATGCAGGGGAGACGGGGGCAACAAAGACTTCCGATGGTGTGATTTTCCAGGGAGCGTGGGCGGAGTGGCCCGTTGGCAAGCAAGGGGAGAATCAGCTGTACCACTTTGCGAACTACAACTTCACTCTTGTGGCGACGGTGTCCATCGACGGTGTGCCGCAGGAGGGAGATACCCACATTCCTTTGATGGGTGTGAAGATGGATGACAGCGGGAAGTCTGTACTCCTGGGACTGTCGTACAACAGCGGAGGTAAGTGGGAGTTGTCTTGCGGTGAAGAAACGCCTAAGGAGCTCAGCAGCACTTGGGAGAAAGATACAACACATCAGGTGGTAATTTTGCTACGGAACGGCACCCAGGGTTCCGCGTACGTCGATGGTGAGCGCGTGAGTGGGAATGAAGCGTGTGAATTGGAGAATAAGGATTCAAGAGCGGTCTCCCACTTCTACATTGGAGGGGACGAACGCAGTGCAGGCGGCGCAGGGAGACAAGAAGAAGTGTCTGTGACTGTGAGGAACGTCCTGCTGTACAACCGCCCGTTGAGTATTGCGGAGATTGGCGCCCTCAACCCGAATAAAGCCCTCATTCCACCTGTGGTGTCTGACAATGCCCAAGGAACCCAGTCGCAGTTCTCTCCTGCCGGGCAACCGCCGTCGGGGCCTAAATTGTTGAATGAAAATGAGGGTACGGGCGGTGGCAGCACATCCACATCAACACCGTCCACTGTAACGACTTCCTTAGGAAAAGAGAAATCCGCAATCCAGCTGCCTTCAGGAGTATCTTCCGGTGGAAACAAAAATGTGGATGTCGCTTCTCCATCCGATGGTGATCCAACGGTGGGAGCGGAAGCTGGAGGTGCGGTGCAGGGAGACACACCACCCCAAACTCCTGTGGATACCCCCGACAAAGCAGATCCAAACGCTCCTACCGCTACGAACGTGGCTCAAGTTGACCCCGCAGATACAACTGAGGTTGGTGCGCGCTCTGGTGAGAATGGGGAGACGGTGGGAGGGGCGGATGGGCAGAAACGGGAGGAAATCCATGCACAGGACGGCGAAGTAAAGGCTGCGGCACTCAGCAGCAGCCTCGGAAATGTGTCTCTGGGGAATAACACCGATGCCGGCACTGTGCGTGGGAGCGGACTGCTGCCGCTGTTTCTTCTGTTGGGACTGTGGGTGTTTGCGGCTCCGTGAGGAGTGACTGGCTGCCGCGTGGGACACTTGCGACCTCCCCAGCACAAAAATACACGTGATAATTTATTTCCCTTCTCAAATAACATTTATTTTATTCCCTGTTTGCTTTGCGTTTTGTTGTTGTTTTTACTTTTTATTGTTCTTTTATTTCTCATTTCCCTCATTCCCTCTTTTTTTTTGCTTTTGGGGGCAATCACTATGGACGTTTCTTTCTTTTTTACTCTTTTCTCTTTTAATTGTTTGTTGCTGCACTCTTCCTGTGAGGGGTGCCGTGTGTTTCTCGCCCAACTGCTCCACTCGCACACCCACCGACACGCTCATGACGACGGCCCTGTGCGCCTCGCCTGCTGCACGCATGAGGAGGGGCCGCGACGAACGGCGCGCTGAGGGAGCCGTGACGTGTTGGCGTGCGACGAGGGCCTGTGGGGCGGAGCACACATTTCTTTCCCTCTTGTTTTGTTTTCTTTGCGGCCAGGGCGGGCAGACACCCGCGGCGCCACACACACAGCCACACCCTGCCGCCGTGTTTTAGTTTTTTTTTCTTTTTTTTTTTTTTTTTTGCTGCGCTCACTCTCCCGATGGAGAGACGCGACTCCCGTCATGTCTGCGTGCTTCTCTCAGTCCCCCCACACACACGAGTGACTGTGCTCTGCGGGCCGCACTCACACGCCGATGAGAGGGCTGAGGGGAGCAGCAACACGCAGATGACCCCATGAAATATAAACGATGTGCGGACACACATGGAGGGTCAGACGGCTGAAAGACATGTAACTATTTAATTTTCGTTTGCGGGCAAAATACATACAGACGGTTTGGTGTGGCCACACGGCTGCCAGGCGATTTTTCTTATTTTAAAATTTGTGTGGAACAGTAATAGACGATTTCTTTTTTAATATAATTATTTTGTGTGATGGGGTTTATATAAGACGAAGGAGGAAGTTTTTTTGTTTTCAATAAATATTGTGTGAATTGCCACTGCTTGGGCTGCAGTGCAATCATGAGTTTGAGCGGTCTTCTTGTTGTTGTTTCCGTTTTGCGTCTCCGCTGTACATTTTTGTGCGTCTCTCCACATACTCTGCTCCCTCTTTTCTACGTCTTTGCTTTGTGTTTCTGCAGGCACACACAACCACACACACACACAAGATGCACATTGCAGTGGATTTGAATGCTCCTTTTGCAGTGCATGCTGGCAGTTGCGTGTGGCGGCTGTTGTTTTCCTCCGTGGCCATGAGAAGGAGGGAGAGAGGGAGTGCGCAGCCCGAGTCTCCTTTCCTGTGGGTGTGATGCACCGCGTGTGACTGCGTTGAGTTGGGCTCCGTGTCCCATTGAGGGCGGGATGGCAGGAAATTTGTTGCCGCTTCATGGATGGATGAGGGTGCACTGGCGCGTGTGGCTGGTGTGGTGTGTGCTTGCTCCGTGTGCGTGACGGCTGCTGGGAGTCCTGGACATGTATCTGGTGATGCGGATGCGGTAGTTGTGCCGGTGGATTTGTCGTGTGCTCCGAATGACGGCAGCTCGAGCTATCGCGTGTGTGTGTGTGTGGGCGTGGAAGAAGTGTTCTCCCGCCATTGCCGAGGCTCAGTATGAGAATTATACTTTCAGTGGCTTTGATGTGCGCATGCATGGCAGGAATGGTGAGCTGGGTGCTGTGTGCCATGTGGCCAATGCGGTGCACACATGTAGCAACTGTGCTGCCAGCTGTGCAGCGAAAGAGGAAGGGGCCACCGCTGCCTTCACGATGAATGTGACGACACATAAATACGCCGGCCCTTATGAATTGTGGTGGCGTCAAATTTCTCCCGACGGAACCATCCATCCGCCTGCACGGAGCGGCGATGCTGACCGTACGGGCATCTGTCAGTTGCCGCCACCCCGTGAAGGGAGGAGGATGACACAAAATCTGGTGCGATAACTGCGCCGCAAGTTAATGCTGAGCCGTCACGTCAACACGAGGATTGGCGACAGTCTGCGGCGGCTGACGGACCCAACACCGTCGATCCGAGTCCCGCATCCAATACGGCGACCAACACGTCCGAGACGAGGCCTGAGTTTGCCGCCAATTCGAACGAAATGATGGTCCCGAATGCATCCAAGAAGAGGCCTTCCTTTGCCAACGGTCCGAGAATAGTAGTGGTGTCGAATGGATCCGGGATCATGTCTCTCACTTATGGCGGCAGGGAACACGTTGCTGCGGATAACACGGACGAGGTGAGTGAGCGCAGCGCCACTGGACACAAATTTCCTTTCTTTAGTAAATGGCGTTGCAGGCAGTGGATTTGTTGCTGAGGGTGATGCGGACGGATTGAGTCAACGCAATGCCTCTGGACACGAAAACAAACCCCAATTACGAGAATTCACCGCGCAGTATTCCGGGAACGGTGTGAGTCCCGACGACTGCTTTGCCCTGCGCAACGACGCGAAATTGACACTGCGAGAGTTAACAGTTGACGGCACTGTGCGTGGGCGCGTGTATTGGGCGTTGCTGTTTCTTCTGGGATTGTGTGGAGTTGTGGCAGACTTGTGAGCCGAAGAGTGTGGAATTGCGACATCTCACGGAGAACATGTGCCGCGTTCCCTGCGTGTTTTCTTTTATTATTTACGTTTTACTGTTTTTGTCCCTTTCCTGGAATAATAAGTATCCTTGCTGTTCCTTTATTTAATGGTCGGTTGCTGCACACTGTTATGAGTGACGTGTTTCCCCTACTTGTTTTGTTTAGTTGCCCACACGCGGTGCCGGCCTCATTGCTGTGCGTCCCACGGACTGCACGAAAGAAGGAGCGGAGGAACAGGCCGGATGCCGCATGAAGTGTGAAGAGTGTTTTTTGTGGGCTGGTGGAAGAGTACAATCTTTTTTAATTCAATGCAGGCAATATGTATGCACAAACACATGCTCTTATTGTGCCGCTTGGCACATAAAATAAATGTCCTGCCGAATGAATTTATTAATTCTTTCCGAGAGTCCTGCCGGACACTCGACTCTTTTTTTCCTTGCTTAACTTCTGGTTTGCAGTGCGGTGTGCGCTGCTGCTGCTGGGGTGTAGCAGCCGTGTTTCTCATTTCTTTTGCTCTACGTTGACGGGTTGTTAGTTTGTGCTGAAGGCTACACGCAAGTGACAGGAGTGATGGCGATGATGATGACTGGCCGTGTGCTGCTGGTGTGTGCCCTCTGCGTGCTGTGGTGCGGTGCCTGCGGTGGCAGATGTCAAGAAGTACTCTTAGTTTCTCAGTCTGATGTGCCCGGTGAAATTGAGGGGGAAAGAGGACATTCACAGGGTTCATCAGGCTTTAAAACGCCAGATTCACACACACCAGACTCAGAAACCTCAGTACGAGATGTTCAACAAGAACAAGATCCGTCTCCACCTCGTGAGGAAACTCAGTTAGGAACCAAAGGTGGTAATAAGGTAGGAAAGGCAAAAGAAAAAGATGATGCTAAAGAAGCTGGAAAAGAAAGAGAAGTGGATGGAAAAATTATTGAGCCAAAAAAGCCTGAAGACAAACTGACGCCTGTGGAGGGCCAGCAGTTGAATAACAATGAAGGCTTGCAGCCAACATCATTGAATGGAGCTCATGGAGCTGAAACAATAAAATCATCAAGAGAAACTTTGCCAGTTCGTGAAGATCAACAAGATTTGTCGAGTTCTCTGCTGCCTCCGTTACACAACACCTCACCGGGTGGAACTCCACCATCCACATCTGCAGCTGGCCGTGTTGACACAAAAAGTCGCGAAAACGACATTGGCACGAAGAATTCTCAACAGTCTGTGGTAGGAGACATTGGACAGAATAAGGACACCGGCGAAAAAGCTGTCGCTTCAACGGATGAAGAAGAAGGTTCACGATTGTCAGTCACGACAGTTGAAGGAATGAGTGAGACAACAACGAAAAGCGACAGCGGCAGCACCGCGACAACTGCAGCTGTACGGTCTGACATTGGCACAGAAGAAATTCTGCCCACCAATCATCCGAGCCAACCTTCCACTGAAGGCGCCACACCACCCGGAACGACTTCCGATGGTGAGGCTGCATCAACCAACAAATACGATACAGTCTCTCAGAATGCAGGTTCCACAACAGCGCCAACCACAAACGTCACAACAACTGATACGGCGAAGAAAGGCGACAGCGACGGCAGCACCGCGATCTCCCACACCACCTCCCCTCTTTTGCTTCTTCTTGTTGTTGCGTGTGCGGCTGCTGCTGCGGTGGTGGCCGCGTGAGAGTGAGGGAGAGAGAGCCATGCACCGCCCGCACACACACTCGTCTTTTACTCACTCTCTGTGTGTGTGTCCCCTTGCATGGACTCTCGCCCTCACCTCACCCCACGAAGCACACACATAATGTGCCCATTGTATATATTGCATGCACACCCATGCAGGCCCGTTGGTGCTCTCTTTTGCACCACACGCACCGCTGCCGTCCTGCCTGGCTGCATGGGCGGAGCACCGTAACTGTTTCTGTTTTGTTTTTATTGCATTGAGTGGGCGACCTCTCTCTCTCTCTCTCCCTGTGTGTGTGTTTTGCTTTACGGGAGCAATGAGAGTGTGTGCGCTGGTCGTCCCACGCTTCGGCTTTTTGTTTTGTTTTTCATTGTTTTGTGGTTGAGAGCACCCATTCCGCGGGCTGCGTGTGTGTGTGTGTGATGATATGAGTAATTTGTGTGTGTGCTATCTGCTTCTCTCTGCCGTTGCTTTCTTTGGACTCTTTTGTGGCGCACAGCTGCTCTGCAAGTATAGGCGCTGCCAAACACACACACAAGCACATGCACACACATGCCGTGGAGCGGCGTGAATGCTGAGGACGCACGCACACGATTTTTCCGTGGCCCTTGTGAGGAGGGATGACGGAAGATCGCGATTTGTTTTGTTTCGTGCTAAGGACATGATTTTCTTGTCGCGCAGCAGTTGGCTAACGTGGTGTGGCATTGAGGGTGACTTCGGCTGTGGTGGACTCTTGCCCAGCAGCTGCACGTGCCGACGTGTTCCTCCCACTGTTCATGCACCGACGAAGGATTCTCCGGCTGTGCGGGGTGATGTGCGTTGGATGTTGCGGGGAGAGACAACAGTAAAACGACTGACGGCAGTGCATGTGGGCGTTGCTCTGTGTGCTGACGCGTGGCGGAAGCACCCGCCGTGGCTTTTACTGCTGGTGGCAGTTGCTGTGTGTTCTTGGTGCACTGTTCTTCCGTCTCTTTCCGTGTGTCTGTGTGCGTGAGTTGTTGTTGTTGGGAGTGACTGCGGTGGGGATGATGATCCCACTCACTGTGGAGGGGTGGCGGTGTTTATTTATTCACTCCATTTTCTTTCTGTCACTCTTTCTCACACACAAAGAAGGAAAGGAAATAAGGCTAAACGCTAATCGCTACTGTGAAATTCGAAGGCACCGAAAGAACCAACAGCACACAGTCCGCTCACACACACATATTTATATGTTCTCACGTGTTGCCGCTGTCATGGCACCCCGCAAACGCAACCGTCGCCGCGTGACCGGATCCAGCGGAAGGAGGAGGGAAGGAAGAGAGAGTGAGTCGCAGAGGCCCAACATGTCCCGGCGTGTGTTTACTTTTGCGGTGCTGCTGCTCATTGTTGTGATGATGTGCTGCAACGCTGGTGGTGCTGCGGAAGCTGAGGAGCAGCCATCTGGTCCAAATTATAAATGGAAGGACATCAAGAATGAGGGTGTAACTGTGGAATCGTTGGGTGTTCCCGGCCTTCTAAAAGTGGAGAGTGACGTATTTGCCGTTGCCGAGGCGCAGTGCAAGAAGTCTGATGTCATTTTTACTGGAATTGTATCCCAACTTCTCACGAAAGATAAAGCTGACAAACCAATGGAAGTGTCAAATGGAGCCAAAGATAAGGCACAAGTTTTGGAGGAAGAGGGTTCCGAAGACCCAAAGAAGAGAATAGATGTGTGCCGACCAACAACAGTTATGCAGGGAAATGATATTTACATGCTTGTTGGAAAATACAGTCCTACAGCTGCCACTGGTCAAGAGGATGGCGGAGCAAATGACGGGGGATTATTGCTGGTGAAAGGGGAAGTCATTGATGAAAGTAGCGGTGGCAAAAGAATCAAATGGAAAGATAATGACGATGTCTCGCGTATTTCTGTTGGCGAACTAGATTCGTGGACAGGGTTGATTGGCGGCGGTGGATCGGGTGTTCATATGGGGGACGGTAGGCTCCTGTTCCCAGTGCAAGGCACGAAGAAGGGTGAAGCACAAAAAGATGAAAAGGCCGTATCGCTGCTCATATACACCTCCGATAACTCTGCGAGTTGGAAGCTATCGAAGGAGGTTCCTGACGGTGGCTGCAGTGATCCCTCCGTCGTGGAGTGGAAGGACAAAAAACTCATCATGATGACTGCGTGTGATGGTGGCCGCCGCAGGGTGTACGAGTCCGGTGACAAGGGGGAGTCGTGGACGGAGGCACTCGGGACACTCTCGCGCGTGTGGGGCAACAAAAAGGGCGAAGAAGTGAAGGCCGTTAGAAGCGGGTTCATCACAGCGACGATTGACGGTGTTGAAGGTAACAGAAATGTGATGCTTGTTACTCTGCCGGTGTATTCCAAGGAGGACAGTAAAAAAGTAACGGGCAATGGAAAGGGTGAACTCCATCTTTGGCTGACGGACAATACGCACATTGTCGATATTGGGCCGGTATCCGGGGAAGGGGACGATGCTGCCAGCTCCCTGTTGTACAAAAGTGATGGAAGTGGAGATAATGGGGAGTTGATTGTACTATACGAGAAGAAGAGGGGTGATGAAGGAAAATCATCACACAGTCTTTGGTCTGTGCTTCTGACTGAGCAGCCGCAGCGTGTGAAGGATGTGCTGGCGACGTGGAAGAAAGTGGACGACCTTGTCTCCAAGCTGTGCCCCTCAAGTGCTGAGAAGGATGCCTCACCTGAAAATGCCTGCAGCCCTACTGTTAAGATCACGGCTGGGCTGGTTGGCTTTTTGTCCGACAACTTCTCTGATAACACATGGAGGGACGAGTACCTCGGGGTGAATGCCACGGTGAAGAAGAAAGATGGGGCAACAGAGGATGCAGGGGAGACGGGGGCAACAAAGGCGGAAGATGGTGTGACGTTCCAGGGAGCGTGGGCGGAGTGGCCCGTTGGCAAGCAAGGGGAGAATCAGCTGTACCACTTTGCGAACTACAACTTCACTCTTGTGGCGACGGTGTCCATCGACGGTGTGCCGCAGGAAGATACTCCCATTCCTTTGATAGGAGCGAAGATGAATGACGATGAGAATCCAGAGAATTCCGTACTTCTGGGACTGTCGTACAACAAGAAAAAAAAATGGATATTGCTGTGCGGTGGCAAAAACCCTAAGCATCAAAGCTGCGATTGGGAGGAGACAAAACACCACATCAGGTGGTAATTTTGCTACGGAACGGCAACCAAGGTTCCGCGTACGTCGATGGTGAGCGTGTGGGTGGGGGTGAAGCGTGTGCATTGGAGAATAAGGATTCAAAAGAGATCTCCCACTTCTACATTGGAGGGGATGGAGGTGCGAAAGGCGTCTCAGAGGTCCAAGACGTGTCTGTGACCGTGTCGAACGTCCTGCTGTACAACCGCCCGTTGGATGACGATGAGATTACTGCGCTTAACGCAAAACTTTCTGTTCCAAAAGCAAGCGAAGCAAAAACAGTGAAGAAGGGTACTCCTCCACCAGAGGCAATTAAACCAGCTACGCTGGAAACCGAAACTCCGTCTAGTCTTGGCGGGCAACAGCAGACTGAACAGGATTCGTTAAGGACAAGTAAAGATGCGGGGAGTGGCGGTTTATCCACGTCAGCGGTGTCCAGTGCCACGACCTCCCCAGCAGCCAAAGAGTCCGAAAACCAGTCAGCGTCGGGAACATCTCCCGAAGGACATTCAAATGTGGATGTTGATTCTTCGTCCGAGGGAGGCCAAACGGTGGATGCCGAAACTGGAGACACGGTGCAGGGAGATGGAACACAACAACCGTCAGTGGGCACTCCCGCCACAGCAGATACAAATGCCCCTACCGCTGAAACCATGGCGCAAGATGGAGCCGCAGTGACACCTGAGGTGGGAGGGCGCTCTGGTGAGAATGGGGAGACGGCGGGAGGGACGGATGGGCAGAAACGGGAGGACATCTATGCACAGGACGGCGAAGTAAAGGCTGCGGCACTCAGCAGCAGTCTCGGAAATGTGTCTCTGGGGAATAACAGCGATGCCGGCACTGTGCGTGGGAGCGGACTGCTGCCGTTGCTTCTTCTTTTGTTGGGACTGTGGGTGTTTGCGGCTCTGTGAGGAGTGACTGGCTGCCGCGTGGGACAATTGCGACCTCCCCAGCACAAAAATACACGTGATAATGAATTTCCCTTCTCAAATAACATTTATTTTATTCCCTGTTTGCTTTGCGTTTTGTTTTTGTTTTTACTTTTTTATTTCTAATCTCTCATTCCCCAATACATTCTTTCTTTTTTTGCTTTTGGGGCAATCACTATGGACGTTTCTTTCTTTTCTACTCTTTTCTCTTTTTCAATTGTTTCTTCTGCACTCTTCCTGTGAGGGGTGCCGTGTGTTTCCCGCCCAACTGCTCCACTCGCACACCCACCGACACGCTCATGACGACGGCCCTGTGCGCCTCGCCTGCTGCACGCATGAGGAGGGGCCGCGACGAACGGCGCGCTGAGGGAGCCGTGACGTGTTGGCGTGCGACGAGGGCCTGTGGGGCGGAGCACACATTTCTTTCCCTCTTGTTTTGTTTTCTTTGCGGCCAGGGCGGGCAGACACCCGCAGCTCCACACACACACAGCCACACCCTGCCGCCGTGTTTTTCCTTGAAGATTTGTTTTGCTTTGCGTGTGCATTTCACGCGGTGGCGCACCCTTCGGTGTCGGCCTCGTGAGCATTTCTCTCCCCTCCGATGATTTCTTTTTCTTTTGCTGCGCTCACTCTCCCGATGGAGAGACGCGACTCCCGTCATGTCTGCGTGCTTCTCTCAGTCCCCACACACACACGAGTGACTGAGCTCTGCGGGCCGCACTCACACGCCGATGAAAGGGCTGAGGGGAGCAGCAACACGCAGATGACCCCATGAAATATAAACGATGTGCGGACACATGGAGGGTCAGACGGTTGAAGCACACGCAACCATCTTTTCAATTTTCTTTTGAGGGTAAAATATATACAGAGAGTTTGGTGTGGCCACACGGCTGCCAATCGACCCTTTTTTTATTTT